CTACCACCAGACGGTACCGATTAGAGGCTCACCAGTCCAGACACACAGGTGTTGGCCGTATCCCCTGCAGCTCCTGCCCTCAGACATTTGGTACCAACTCGAAACTGCGCCTGCACCGGTTAAGGGTACATGACAAAACACCCACCCACTTCTGTCCACTCTGTGACTATAGTGGCTATCTTCGCCATGACATCACTCGCCATGTCAACAGCTGCCACCAGGGCACCCCAGCCTTTGCCTGTTCCCAGTGTGAGGCCCAATTCAGCTCAGAGACAGCACTTAAGCAGCATGCTCTGCGCCGACACCCTGAACCCCTAAACCCTGCTCCTGGCTCTCCTGCAGAGGCCACTGAGGGGCCCCTAAACTGCTCCCGCTGTGGCCTGCTGTGCCCCAACCTCGCAAGCCTGCGGGGACACACCCGTAAGCAGCACCCACGGCTGGAATGTGGGGCCTGCCAGGAGGCCTTCCCTAGCCGGCCAGCCCTGGAAGAGCACCGGAGGCAGCAGCATTTCAGCCACCGCTGCCAACTCTGTGACTTTGCTGCCCGGGAGCGAGCAGGTCTGGTGAAGCACTACCTAGAACAGCATGAAGAGACTTCAGCTGCACCAGCAGCCTCGAACGGGGATGCTGGCCAGCCCCCTCTGCGCTGCCCCTTTTGTGACTTTGCATGTCGCCATCAGCTCGTGCTAGATCACCATGTGAAAGGGCATGGGGGCACTCGGCTCTACAAGTGTACTGACTGTGCTTATAGCACCAAGAACCGGCAGAAGATCACATGGCACAGCCGCATCCACACTGGGGAAAAGCCTTACCGCTGTCACCTCTGCCCATATGCCTGTGCTGACCCCTCTCGCCTCAAGGTAAGATCTGGGCTATGGGACAGGGAATGGAAGGAATGCAGGCTCTAGTTTCTTTAATCCTGACCCTTCCAAATATTAGATCTGTGATTGGACAAGTTCCTTATCCTCTTTAAGGCTCAGACTCCCCATCTATAAAAAAGAGATAATATTTACCAACTTCATGGGGTCATATAATAATACAATTCTTGGGGCTGGGATTGTGGCTCAAAGGGAAAGCACTCGACTAGCACGCAGGAGGCACTGGGTTTGATCCTCAGCACCACATAAAAATAAAAAAATAAAATAAAGGTATTGTATTTAACTACTTCTAAAAATAAATATTTAAAAATAAATAAATAAAGATATGTGTCCACCTATAACTAAAAAATAAATATTAAAAAAATAATATAATCTTTAATACATGCTTAAGAAGAACAAGGACTTGCCTTGTGATAAAGACATAATAATTTATATGTGCATGGTAGTGCACACCTGTAATCCCACCAACCTGGGAGTCTGAAGCAGGAGGATCACAAGTTCAAGATCAGCCTCTGGAATTTAGCAAGACCTTATCTCAATAAAAAGGACTGGACATGTAGCTCAGTGGTAAACTGCCCAGGATCCCCCCACAAAAAAAAAAAATTGGGGAGGATAATCTGGATAATAACGCTAACATTTATGAGCAGTTACTATAATGCCTAGTACCATGATTTTAATCTTTTCAAAAATAAAGAGATATAGATACTTATTCTATTCCCCATCTTACAGACTAGTAGACTGAGAATTATGGGTTAGCTCACCCAGTGACTGTCAGTGTCAGAACTGAGATAGTCAGGGAAAGCCTAGAGAGGGACTGAATAGGTAAGGTTGATAACAAAGTGACCATTTTGAGGGACCCAGTTGGTAAGGGAAGTAGAGATGAGATGAGATTAAGGAGCAGGGTTATCCACCAATGGTTTCTCTGCCTACTTGTCCCCCCTTCTATATCCAGTGAGTGCCAAGGGGAGCACATGTTCTGCTTTTTGCTCTTCCCTCTTCTAGTACCATATGCGGATACACAAGGAGGAACGGAAGTACCTGTGTCCTGAATGTGGCTACAAGTGCAAGTGGGTCAACCAGCTCAAGTATCACATGACCAAGCACACAGGTGAGTCTGTGATTTGGGTTAAAGGATTCTCCCATTCACTATCAAACTTGACTTCACCGAGGTGGTGTATGTCCTTGCCCAGATTCAGGGCCATCATTGATTTTTATACTGAGGGTTCAGGTAGGCTGGGAGTGTGTGTACCGGAATGGTACACACTGAATACCTGTCAGAAATAGGACAGAGTAAACCTGAGAGTCTGGGCATCTGTACTTGGCAGATTTCTCAGGGATTGTGGTGTAAGGTCACACCCCCCCCATAGAGAACCCCAACTCAAACTTGAGTGATTGAGGACAGGTCTACCTGATTGTATACAGATATGATGGAACTATCACAAATAAGAAGGAGAAAGAGGAGGGCTCCTTTGTGCTGATGTGGTTCTCTGAAAAAGGTTAATGATTGCCTTTGATTATTGCATATGGTTACCCCATATGTGGAGGAATTGATCAGGTGCATTTCAAGACCCTCTGCTTCTATGAATGATGCTTCTTTCATTTTTACCTCTTCCCTCTTAAACATTTTCTTTGACTTTTTGAGTTGAACAAGGAACTGTGTTTAAGTGTGTTTTCAAATTTTGTGACCAAAAGAGGGCTGGACTTTCCCATTTGATAACCTACCATATTTGATACTCATTACTATCAGATGGCTAGTTGGTTAGAGGTCCAGTTAGTTATCGGTATCATTGGGCTTCCATGTATTCAAAGAATGTGTTGAAAGAATGTCAAGACTGGAACATTCCAAAGATAATGGTTATTAACTTGCCACTTCTGTCGTTTATATCCCAGTATGTATCCACAGTGACTCTTATGACCCATTGAGCCTTGTCTGTCCCCCCTTCGATGGTGATTTATTCCCTGCCTTTAGGACTGAAGCCATACCAGTGTTCCGAGTGTGAGTACTGCACCAACCGGGCTGACGCACTGCGTGTGCACCGGGAGACACGGCATCGAGAAGCACGGGCTTTCATGTGTGAGCAGTGTGGCAAGGCCTTCAAGACGCGCTTCTTGCTGCGCACCCACCTTCGCAAGCACAGTGAGGCCAAACCCTACGTGTGCAATGTGTGCCACCGTGCTTTCCGCTGGGCTGCTGGCCTGCGCCATCACGCCCTTACCCACACAGACCGCCACCCCTTCTTCTGCCGCCTCTGCAGCTACAAGGCCAAGCAGAAATTCCAGGTGGTCAAGCACGTGCGCAGGCACCACCCTGAGCAGGCTGACCCAAACCAGGGTGTGGGCAAAGACCCCACCACTCCCACAGTGCACCTACATGATGTAAAGCTGGAGGATCCCAGCCCTCCAGCTCCTGCTGCTCCTCCCACTGGACCTGAGGGCTGAGAGCCTGCTACCACTAAGACAGGAAGAAAGTGTGGTAAGAGGTGTGCATACTGGGACCAGAGTTAGCCTGAGGAGCTCAGGGCCTAAGAAAGGACTGGCTTTGCGGTGTCAGTGCGACTAGAAACCACCCCCTATCCCCACCCCCAGGACTCTGGACATAGTACTTTGAAATGAACAGCTATATGAGAGACATGGACCAAAACAGTGATTTCTTCTTGAAGTGCACAGTGTTTTTAACCTGTGAATTTCTAGTTTCTTAGAGACCCTGGCTATAAGATCTTGGTTTTATCCACTCTGTCTTCTCTTCTCTTCTTACTGTATCAAATCCTATTTTCTTTCAGCACCTTCAAAACAGTTGTATCTAACTGCATGTGCTATTATGCCTGATGCTCTATAAAGCATGTCAAACAGAATGACTGCCAACTTATAGACTCATCCAAACTCCTGACTTGGCATTTCTAGGCTATGATCTTGATCTGCCCTGTCCCCTCTTAGACCTCTGCTCCTCCTTTATCTCTTCTGAATTCAGTCGGAAACAGGTTCTGAAACAGAACCAAGTCTGCCTTCTCTGTCCTTAAGCCTGTCCTGATGTTTTCACTTTCTCCCTATTTCCAAGCCCCTCTTTCTGCTTGTATAGAGGGAGGATTGTCACTCACTAAGCCTCCTCTTGGAAGCAGCTTTAATTCAACATAAATCCTTAGACTGGCCCACAACTGCACTTATGAAGGAAAGCACAAAGGCACTGTAAAAAGGCAGGTGATTGGGAAGGTAAATCTCTCATTCAGAATTCTCACAGTGTAATTACTTCACTATGTATTTGATCATCTGAACTGAGACACTCTGGGAAAATCAAAGAAGATGCCATTAATATTTATTCTGGGACTCAACAGATTATAAACCAGGACTGTTTTAGGCAAACTTTCCAGGAGGGCCAGATCACATAAACCTTTGTCTCCTTTTGCCCTACCTCTCAGAAGCCTCTCTTTTGTGTCCTTCCTATTCAGCACATGCAGGAATGTCCCCGGAAAGCTTGGTTTTCTTTTCTCTGACCCATCCGACTACCCAAATGTCCCCCCAACCCTTATGCCTCCCCTTGCCCAATAACCATACCAGAGCCAAATTGGAGAGAGAAGCTCTATTTACACCAGGGGGACTGGAGAGGTGCAACCCAGTGGGGACATGGCTGTGTGCTGTTCTCTGGAGAGTCATGGTACAGTCCTAGGGTCAGGTCTCCTTCCTCAGCCTTTGCCTGAGGAGCCTTGATTTATCCTTCCCTTGACTCAGGGCTTTGAGGAAGTTAAAGGTATAATACTTCTGTAAGTTTCTTTGCTCCAAGCCCCTCTCTGATTTTCTAGTTGCAATTTGCTTTCGTGCCAGAGTTGATGGGAGAGATTAGTAGTAGATCTGAGTATGGGACTGAGCCTACAGCAAGAGGAAGGAGGGAACTCCAGTATAGACTACACAAAGAGAAAAGGCAGGAAAGATACCAATGACATGAAAACAAAGGGAGAGAAAAAAGGTGAAAAGTCAGGTTCTAGATTTGCATGTTAGGAAGGGCAAGGTAATATGCCTGGAATGCACAATCCAAAGATTTTCACCTTTTCTAATTGCTTTCTGGAGCATCCATGTTGTTCTTTCACCCTCTAAAGCCAGTATACCCATCCACACTATAAAATACCCACCTCAGAATTCAGACTCCCCAGGTTGAAGCTCTTCCATTTCCCGGATGCAGATGTACACAAAAATGGAAGCTGGGTGGATGCTGATGCCATCTTTAGAGAGCAGGTGTATGTGGCGGTAACCTGGAAAGGGGCAGGACAACAACATTAGGGAGGCAGCCAGAGCCAGGGTGTTGGCCAGGGATCCAAGGACTGTCTCACCTTGTTTCATGCAGGTCCATGGCAGGGTATATTGACCAATAAAGTCATTTCGGGATTTCCAGTCATAATCCTGAACCACAAAACGCAGCATAGCAAGTTCAGGTACCAGCACCCGGAAGCACAGTGTCTGACCCCAGTAGGGATTAAAACCTGAGGTGGCGGGTAAGAAGGAATGAAACACGTTTTACTTTTTTTTTTCCTTAGTAGTACTAGGGATTGAACCCAGGGGCATTCTACCACTGAGCTACATCCCTAACCCTCTACCCTTTTTTTTTTTTCCTTGAGATAGGGTCTTGCTAAGTTGCTAAGGCAGGCCTCAAACTTGAGATCCTCCTGCCTCAGCCTCCCAAGTTGCTGGAATTACAGGCATGCACCACCATGCCCAGCTTCTCTTGGCCCACACTGTTTTACCTGTATTCTCACTTAATCTAGATGTCAATCAGCATTATATAGGTGAAGAAACAGGTTCAAAATGTGTAAGCAATTTTCCCAAGTAACTGGAAGCTATGGAAGGCCAGGATTCCTTGTACTATTCCATACTGCCCTTCTGCTATAGGGGTGGAGGTAGGGGTGGGTGGTGACATGACAGTATGGAAGGGAACCAACAGTTATACTCCTACCACCTCCTTCCCCAGCACTGCTGTCTCACCATTGTTCTCCACATAGTTGGTCTCCTGGCAGGTTGTGTCTGGACGGATGCCATAGATCTCCACTCTCACCAGTGGGTCCACAATGGACCTCTCTTTGGTGTTGTTCACTTTGGGGAGTTGCTGACCACTGATAACCTGCAACCAGGGCACTGGAACCTCATGAGTGCCTACCTAGCCCAACCCACCCCCCAATCTCTGACGCCCCAGAGGAGAGGACAAGGGACCTTGCACTAGCTTTTCAGTTTGCAAAACTAATCCTCTGCAAGCAACATATTTTCCTCTATAGTCTATCTGCAATTTTATCCACTTATTTATTGTACTGGGGATTATCCAGGAATGCCCTACCACTCAGATACATCCCCAGCCCTTATTTTTTGAGATAAGTCTTTCTTTCTAACTTGGTGAGCCTGGCTTCAAACTTGTAATCCTACCTCAGCCTCTTAAGTCACTGGGGTTACAGGCATACACAGCCCTTTCTGCAATTTTAAATGCACAAAGTTGAAATTTAAGAGGTTTGAAAGTAGACATGCTAATGACAGCAGCCTTTTCTGTAGCACTTCCTGTGTACAGCAAGTGGTGTAAGCACTTGACCTTAATAACTCCTGCAATCCTCACAATCCTGTGAGGTAGGCAGTAGTATCATTCCTATTTTACTGGTGAGTAAACTGAAGTACAGATGGGCTAACAAACTTGCCCAGTATTATACAACTAGGAAGTAGATTTTAAGCTAGGCAGTTGGCTCCAATGTCTTGTTAGCAATCAGGTTATTCTGCATCTCACAAGGAATTTTCAGCCAATTATGCTCTTGTCAGGCCTAGCCATATCTTCCCCCACTTCTATCCCAGTTATCCCAGGTTCTTTTCAACAGCTTCTCTTCCCATCATACCTGGACCAAAAGAGTCTGGGCCTTGAAAGGACTGAGGGGTTTCTCCGGGTTGAAGGAACTCTGGATATCACGCAGGAAATCTGGCTTCAGCACATAGCCACAGCCACTGTTCTGGCGGAAGAGCCCATCACAGATGTCCATTTCAAGCCCTGCAGTCTGCATATTCATAGCCACTGAGGCCCCAGGAGAAAAGAAGGGAAAGATTCATCTCAGAAGACTTCCAGGTTCTCTTCCAAGGGAATAAGACAGGTATTGGGTATAAGAGTGCCTGCTGGGAACATCTTCAAAGATAGGTAGCCTTTTCCTCACCTAGCATTCAAGGTCATTCCCCCTGGCCCTACTTCCATTAGGGAACTTATCTCCCTCCACCCACTCCTGTAGTCCCACCTCCTGTCTCTGCTGCCTCCTCACCCATTTGGCAGCCTACATTCCAGAGTTCCTGGGGGTTGTAGTTGGATGAGTCTGTCCTCAGACCACTGGGATACACACGGCTTAACTGCCAGGCATTGTGCTGCACAAACTCATTGCCTGTAAAAGAAAGAAGGAGGAAGATGGAAGTGGGGTAGCTCCTGCCAATTCCCTGGCCCCAAGGACCCTGCCCACTCACTTCACTCTTTTCCCCAACATCTAAAGCTCAATGTCCCCTTCCCTCAGTGTCATCAGCCTTGTGCTCACTATTCCTAACTCCCTTCCCTTTGCCTGCTGTGATAATTTTCTTAACTCCATCATCTCTCTTGAGCTCCCTTGTCCTCTTACTTGGGACTTACCACCATATCCCTGCCCATAAGTCTGAAGCTACCCATCCCGCGCTTCCCTCCCTGTCTTTCCATTTTGGTCCTAACCAGCCTCCTTGACAAGGCTTTTGGCCTTGGTTTCAGAGAAGGACGATATCTCATAGAAGTGGTAGTTCTCCTTTGAATGGGTGAAGCTGCGGAATGAGACAGACTTCAGGTAGACAACCAGGGCAGAGAGGGCTGGACACAAGACGGACCTGGATTTCTGGAGGAAAAAGTGGAGAGGAATTGAATCCTCATCAGCTTGAGAGGGAAGAAGCTAATGGCCCTCCATCCAATCTACACCTCTGCCCATTGCCTCCCCACTGTATTCTCCCTCCTGCCTCACCTGCTCAAGCAAGAGAAGGGACCCAAGATTGATATTAGAAGCCTGGGCCACAATGTGACAACAGATAGGCGGACAAAACAGCGGGCACATCACAACCTGGGGGTGGGGATGGGAATAAAGGCAGTCTGCATATACTGCTGGGATTAATTTCAGCTGCTGGGCTTGGAGAGTCCATTCTATGTTATATCTAGGATAACAGGTCTTTATCATTATTTTTAAACAGAGATGTGTTGTCTTCCCTACCTCTCTTGTTTGAAAACAAATGAACAATAATCTTGATCAAAAAATACATGAATTCAGGCTGGGGTTGTGGCTCAGTGGTAGAGCGCTTGCCTCGCATGTGCAAGGCCCTGGGTTCGATCCTTAGCACCACATAAAAATAAATAAATAAAATAAAGGTATTATGTACAACTACAACTAAAAAATAATTTAAAATATATATGTACATGAATTCATGCTGGGCATGGTGATGCATGCCTTTAATCCCAGCTACCTGGGAGGCTGAGACAGGAGGATCACAAGTCCAAGGCCAGCCTTAGCCACTTAGTAAGACCCTGCCTGGGGCGGGAGGATGGGGGAGGACTGGGGATGTAGCTCAGTGGTAGAGCTCCCCTGGATTCAATCTCCAGTACCACAGAAACAAAAACAACAAAATGTACATGAATCCAGAGAGGTATGTCAAGGTATGCAAATGATTGTGGAATTTGCTCCTGGTCAGATGTGAGGGTCGTAGAGTAACATCACAGGACTTGTCTCCTGAATTCCCATTTCCATCCCTGGACATGGTGGCAAGTTAAACATCACAGTCCCAGAGAGAACAGGAAAGCTAGAAGTCAGCTGAGGGGGCCAAGCAAGCCCACAAGAGAGAAATGCAGACTTCAAACCCAGATTTCAGAGGTCCCACCAATGGCACCCCTTCTCCCTTAGCCTTGCCCTTCCCCATAGGGATATGGACCACACTGGCAAAACTTTCTTAAAGCTTTCACCTTCCCCTCTCCAAACCTTTGGCCATTTCTGGTCGTACTTCAAACTCAAATTCCACCCATTATAAGAAGCTTTCTCTAAGCCCACTGGAGTTAAAGTCATTGTAATCATTCCACTAATCCCTATTTAGCCAACCTAATAGTGCTAAATACACACACATACACACAGTGGTTTTCAAACTGGACTTTAAGGAGATTGAGAAAGGTCTAGAGTCATCTAAGGGATCCATGAGAGAGCCAAATGAGGGGTTCAGTTAGAATGGTTCTGTTTATCTATTTTGTATACTGAGTTTCCATATAAGATTTCATTAAAAAAAAATTTTCATGGCCCAGAAAAGTTGGAAAGCCACTGCAATGTATCTTTATTTGGTGATGTATCCCACACAGTGATGCCATCTATGCATTATTATACCTCTTTTCTTGGGAGGAAGGGTTATTTTTCTCCTTGGCCCTCCACCCTGCCAGGCTCTTATCTTCACAAATTAGCCTTCAGCTTGTGAAGCACGCTAACCAAATGCCACCACAGAAAGACCACTCCTGGCCTACCTTCTTTTTGTCCTTATTCAGGTGGCTCAGCTCCAGTGTCACAGGCTCGGAGGGGGACCCCAATGGCAGTTCTGACCCCTGCTGTCTCTCCAGCTGGGGTTCTGTCACTTCTTCCTCATCTTCAAGATCATCCTCAAGTGTTCCTAACTTCTTCCCCTTCACTAAGATCTTCCCTTTAAGCTGCTAGGGAACAAAAATGAAGAAAGATGTCTACCTGTCTGTTCCTGGGAATCTTGCAGTTCCTGCTGCCCTCAAAGGCAGTGAATAGTAGGAAGTTCCCCCATGAAGAAATTGATTGCTTAATATATACCAGAGGGATTCCCTTATTGTTAAACAAATTTGTAACATCTGTAGCCATATGAAAGATAGGTAAATAAATGTAGGCTTCTACCTCACATCTGAAACACTAAGAGTTTTTATCCTCTTAGTCAAGATTTACATATATAAAAGACTATGGTGCACACCAGTAATCCCATTGGCTGAAGCAGGATGATCGTGAGTTGGAATCTAGCCTCAGCAGTTTAGTGAGGCCCTAAGCAACTCAGTGAGACCCTTTCTATAAATTAAAAAAAAGGGGGGAGGGGAGGCTAGGGATGTGGCTCAGTGCTTAAGCACCCCTGGAATCAATCACCAGTACAAAAGAAAAAAAAAGTACAAAAAATATAAAGAACATAAAAGTATGAGAGGAAAACAATCTTTTTTTTTTTTTTTTTTCTTTTTGGTATCAGGGATTGAACCCAGGAGTGCTTAACTTAAATCACATCTCCAACCCTATTTTTTTTTTAATATTTATTTTTTAGTTTTCAGCGGACACAACATCTTTATTTGTATTGTGGTACTGAGGATCGAACCCAGGCCGCACGCATGCCAGGCGAGCGCGCTACCGCTTGAGCCACATCCCCAGCCCTCCAACCCTATTTTTTATATTTTATTTAGAGACAGGGTCTCACTGAGTTGCTTAGGGCCTCACTAAGTTGCTGAGGTTGGATTTCAACTTCAGTCCTCCCTGCCTCAGCCTCCTGAGTTGCTGGGATTACAGGCATGCACCATCATGCCCACAAGAATCTTTTTTGGGGGGAGAGGGATGGTGGTACCAGGGATTGAACTCAGAGGCACTCGACTACTGAACACATTCCTAGCCCTAGTTTGTATTTTTAAAAAATATTTATTTCTTTTAGTTGTACACAATACCTTTGTTTTTATTTATTTATTTTTTTTATGTGGTGCTGAGGATCCAAACCCAGGGCCTCTCACCCACTAGGGGGTCGCTGTACCACTGAGCCACAACCCTAGCCTCCTAGTTTGTATTTTATTTAGAGACAGGGTCTTACTGAGTTGCTTAGAGCCTCACTAAATTGCTGAGGCTAGCTTTGAATTTGTGATCCTCCTGCCTCCGCCTCCCAAACCCCTGGGATTACAGGCATGCACCACTGCACCCGGCCAGAATTTTCTTGAATAGAGAATTTTTTTGAATAATCTCATAATGGAAAAGACTTTAGAAAGATGATATGAAAACTCAGAAGATGGGGCTGGAATTGTGGCTCAGAGGTAGAGCGCTCACCTAGCATGCGCTAGGCCCTGGGTTCAATCCTCAGCACCACATAAAATAAAATAAAATAAAGATATGTGTCCACCTATAAGTAAAAAATAATTTTAAAAAAAGAAAACTCAGAGGATATCTAAAATATTGACAGGTATGGCTACATAAGTCTTAAAAACTTTTGTAAGGAAAAACATGCTAAAAGACAAAAGCAAAAATAGACAACAAAGTATTTCTCAAACCATTAATATCTTTAACACATAGGAATCATTACAATATCAATAAAAATTATAAACCCTAATAAAATTGGGTAAACAAATTGTCAGATAATTCAAGAAAAGAAAATATGGACTTTTTAAAAAACGATCTTTTTTCAGTATTTGCCATTATCAGTCATCTCACTGTTGTTTGTAGTTACTCTCCCCTGTTGGTTGGAGTATAATTTGGTATTTTTTCCCAAGGGCAACTTGCAATAATAATCAAAAATGTCAAAATAAAAACTCTTTAACCCAGAGAGTTTTTATTTTGACATTTTTTGCCTCAAGGAATCCATAATAAAGAATCAATGGAAAAAGCTGTAGGTACAAGTAGAAAATCACTACCAAATGTGCAACTGGTTGAATAATTCTCCTTCGTGACATAAAATGGAATTCTGTAGAACTATTAAAAAGGAAAAATTTTTTACAAGAACAGACATCCATGATATATATTTCACATATAAAAAGGTTATGGAAGCTGGGTTGGTGGCACATGCCTGTAATCCCAGCAGCTAGGGAGGCTAAGTCAGGAGGTTCATGAGTTCAAAATAAGCCTCAGCAACTCAGCGAGACCCTGTCTCTAAATAAAATATTAAAAAGGGCTGGAGATGTGGTTTGCTGGTTCAACACCTCTGGGTGCAATACCTGGTACGAAAAAGAAAAGGAAAAGGATATGGAAAACAACCTCATTTTTTTTTCTTCGTGTCTATGTGAACATAGCCAGGTTCTGGGGTGCTTGCCTATAATCCTGGTGGCTCAAATGGCTGAAACAGGAGGATCACAAGTTCAAAGATAGCCTCAGCAATTTAGCAAGGCCCCGTCTTGAAACACAAAAAGGGCTGGGGATATTGCTCAGTGGTTAAGCACCCCTGGGTTCAATCCCTGGTACCCCCAAAATGACAAAAAGTGTGAAAATATATATATATTTTTTATATATATAAGCATTTAAAAATGTATTCTAGGGGCTGAGGGTATAGCTCTGCAGTAAAGCAGGGGCTTAGTATGTGTGAGACCTTGGTTAAATCCCCAGTACCAAAAAAACCCCAAATTATTGATAGGTGTTATTATGGAAAAAGTTGGGATTATGATGGAAAGATTTCCCTTTCTCTGTATTGTCTGTATAGTCTACACCAACTGTCAACTATCCGGAAAAATAAGACATTTCCATTGAAAATTAAATAAAGGGCTGGGGTTGTGGCTCAGCAGTAGAGTGATCGCCTTGCACGTGTGAGACCTGGGTTCGATCCTCAGCATCACATATAAATAAATAAGTGAAATAAAGGTATTGTGTCCAACTATAACTAAAAAATAAATGTTTTTTTTAAAAAGAAAATTAAATAAAAAGTAAATAGTTGATTTAAAACTTAGAGAACTGTAAATGGAATTCTGTGTTCAATTAGATCTTTCAAAATTAAAGTTGTCTCTAGGTATATTAAAGAGCAAGATGGTTCATTTGGGATAGAAAGATGTAAACAAGAGGGACATGAAGGAAGAAGTCAAGGTGAAGGAATGCAGAAGCCACAGTAAAGCCTGTCAGGGGATACCAGGTCCTTACCTCAGGTGAGGGAAGCTGAGTGGGTAGCAGCCCATCCAAGGTGGAACTCAGCAGCTGATCGTCCAGGATCTCAGTCAGATGGCGTACCATGGTCAGCTGCTGCTCCCAGGTGCAGTGGTTCTCCAGGGACAAGATGAGTGGATATTCTGATGCCTGTTGGGCGGGGGGGGGGGGGGCATGCTACATCAGAGTTCTAAAACCCTATACCCTCCTGTTCCAGACATTTGAGTTCCTAGCCCACCCTCTATTTACTCAAATTAGTACCCTGATTGTTAAATTCCTCCAACCCCATTATAGAGCTCAGTGAGAATTTGCTGGGTCTGGGGCCCACCCACAGGGACAAGATCCACATCTAAAGGTCATTTTTTGGGATCCCCAATTTCATACCTGTGCCAAGTCTGACTCAGGTCCTCTGAGACCTTTTGAGTTTTTAGGATCAGAAGGGGAGGACCAGGTCTTTATATTCTTAGACTTCATCTCCAGATTCCTAGTGTTTCCCAACCTTACTTGATACTGTTTGTTTCTTTATCTAGTCTCTCCCAGATGGGAGAGTGGTTAGTACCACTATGACTACTGGTTATTAGTAACACATCCAACACTTATTCATAATAATCCCTTAATATCTGCCCAGTGCTCTAGAGTTAAAAACCTCTCTTACATATATCATGCCATTTGCAATAACCTTCCCAGCACCCCTTCACCCTCCCCAGAACCAGAGCCAGTCACTTTTCCCTTAGGCTCTTGTCTCAGCCCTCTTCCCAGCCTGGGGCTACTACCTGGAAGGCATATTGTTTAACTGTGGCCACAACATCTTTGAACAGGATTCGGGAAGTCAGGGTGTGTCCGTGATAAACAATGGGTTCCCCGTTAGGTCCATCCCATACATCTACCTCCACACAGCGGCACCCTCGTTTCAGGGCCCTGCAAGAACCCCAACCCCAGAAGCAGAAGAGGTCAAGTTCTGACCCTCTCCCCAGTGTGGAGAGATCAATGCTCATCAGCACTTACCCATCCACACCTCTTCAAACTATGTACACTGTGTGTGTGTGTGTGTGTGTGTGTGTTTATTTATTTTAGTTGTAGATGGACAGCTTTATATTATTTATTTTTATGTGGTGCTGAGGATCGAACCCAGTGCCTCACACAGGCCAAACAAGCATTCTACTACTGAGCTACAACCCCAGCCCCTCAAGCTATGTATTCTTGGATGCTTCTCTGTCCGCTTGAGGATGGCTGCAGCTCTTACACCCACCCCACCCCACTCACAATTCTTTTTAGCCACCTATCACACATTACTTCATGATACTCCTGGTATTCTGGTTGTATATCCCTATACAACACTTGGGTTAGTTAAGCTTTCTGCATATTTACATTTAATTTCTTCCTCTCTGTCTCTCTCTGGTGATAGGGATTGAACACAGGGCCTCACACATGCCAAGAATGTGTTCTACCACTTGGAAGTTTCACTTAATTTTGAGTAAAAGTTCCACTCATTTTCATATCCCTTGAAGCTACTAGTTGAGTTGCTAGCACTAAAAACGTCTTGACTATTCAATCTAATCCATGGTAAATCAATAAAGGCAGCTACCACCTATTAGCTATTGACACATGGATTATCTCATTTAATCTCCACTACAACCTGAAAAGAACAGGTACTGTTATCTCCCTATTTCATAGATAGGGATCCCAAGATATAGATAGTACCAAGTGAGGAAGCTAGGCTTTGACATCCACCCGTCTGACTCCAGAACCGACCTTTTTTTTTGGAACTAGGGATTGAATCCAAGGGCGCTTTACCACTGAACCATAGCCACAGCCCTTTTTATTTTTTATTTTGAGATAGGGTCTAAGTTGCTTAGGGTCTTGCTAAGTTGCTAAGACTAGCCTTGAACTTGCAAACTTTGTATCTCAGCCTCCCGAGTCACTGGGATTACAAGAGTGCACCACATGCCTGGCTGCACCCATGATTTTAACTCCTATGCTGTACTACTTCCTCTTTAACATTTTGCTTATTTGTTCAAAATATTTGTTAGGGTCTCTGAGTTCCAAGAGTTTCATAGCTCAGGAAAGAGAGAAATCTCATTTACCCATAGGGTTTCTTTACCATTCTCCCATCAGTCTTCAATATCTTCTTCAAATGTCTCAGGTATCCAGGGTTCCTCAGTCCCAGTTCCCCCCAATATCAAAGTGTTGAAAGCACTACAAAAATATCTCTTCAATCCCTGTTATTCACTCACTACCGCCCAATTTCCCACAGATGGTCCCTCTAATGAGCTGGACCCTTTCTCTACTACCACTGCACCGTATATATCCCTCGACGCTGCTCTGGCCACAAAGTTGGTCCCCAACGAGATAAGTATTGTGAGAGGAGTTAATGAAGTAGTGGGTCAGAGGTTGAGTCATATCCTGGTAGATGGGAAGGCAGGCCGGGTTGAAGATGTCTCCATCCTTTGAGCAGAGGTAGCTGAGGAAGCCATCCAAGCTCAGCACATGCCGCAGTTTGCCTACAGTGTGGAATGGGAAATGCTAGAGTGAGCTGCTCTGCAGGGGAGCCCCTCGGCATACCTACAGACCATCCTCCATCCCACTCCCTATGGGGTCTTGTCTTTCAGATGGTTCCCGATCCCAGCTTCCAGATCCCCAACTTGCCCCACTCAGTGTGTGTCATTTCAATCACCCCACCCTCAGAGATTATTAAAGAGAGCCATTACAATTATTCTAGTCTAGCTGGGCATGGTGGTACACTATGAGTCCCAGAGACTCAGGAGGCTGAAACAAGAGGATCATAAGTTCAATGCCAGCCTCAGCAATTTAGCAAGGTCCTAAGCAACTTAGTGAGAACCTGTCTTAAAATAAAAAGCAAAAAGGACTGGGGATGAAGCTGGAGTTGTAGCTCAGGAGTAGAATACTTGCCTAGCACATGTGAGGCACTGAGTTTGATCCTCAGCACCACACAATAAATAAACAAAGGGTTTTTTTTTTTTTTAAAAAGAGGTTTTCGGTCTGGCTGGTGAGAATATTACTTTTATAAAAAAGAACTGGTGATGTAGCTCAGTGGCTAAGTGCCCCTGGGGGTTCAATCCCCAGGGCCAAGAAGAAGAAAAAGATCATTTTAAGTCCAGTGCTATCTAATATAACTTTCACAGTAATAAAAGTGTTCTATTCTATGGTGTTGAATATTGTAGCCTTTATATACATGTGGCAGTGAGCACTTGAAAATGTGACTTGTTTGACTGAGGCACTAAATTTTTAATTTTATTTGATATTAGCTAATTTAAATGTATCGTCACAAGAAACTCACAGTTGCCATAATGGACAGCACAGTGTCCAGTCCAAAGATTTAATTTTATAGATGGTTTTTAAAATTTATGATTTTAAATATAAAATTAAAGATTTAATTTTATAATCAAAGTCTAGTGAGAATCACAAAGAAGGTTGTTAGTGACATGGCCAAGGTACCTGTGTTTTCTTCCTATGTTACTTATGATCTGAGGGGTTCTTTCTACTGTCAACACTCCCAAGTGGTATTTTGGGGAGCATTTGTCAACATTGCCTTAAACTACCCTCTTGTTGAGGAAAGGGCCCTGTTTCTCCTTCTGTAACTCTCACCCGTCTCAGCATGGACATCATACAATAGCAACTTGTTAACTGTTAAGATTGAGCATTTGCTCTATGCCAAGGACATTACATGCAGTATCTCACTTAATGTTCTCACAACACAATATGATCTGCTATGAGAAGTTAGAAAACTAGTCGCAGTCGCATACTGGTAAGTGGAGGGACTGGAATTTATATCCACGCAGCCAGGAGTCAGAGTTTTGTCCTGTACCACTGGGCTATGCAATGTTACTGAGGATAATGCTGCTGCAGAGAGGTGCCCTTGAAAGTTAAACAACCTGACTGACATTCTCAGCTTCTTTGCTCCAGGTTTGACAAGGCCTTAGGCAGTAGAGAATGGTAGGATGTTGGGCAGGAAGTTTCATTTTTGCCATTGATAATCCAATTGCTCAGGTAAGTCCATGGTTGCTAGATACTTTGCATGTGCATCTTTTTATTTGATCGCTTATTTTATAAATGAGGAAATTGAGTCTCAGATAGGTTAAGTGACTTGCTCAAGGTTACTCAGTCAATTAGAAGCAGAGTAGGGACTTGAGCACAATTGACTAATAATACACTCAGCAACCAGAATATAGTATCTAATTGTCAAGTGAAAGGGGAGGGACTACTGGGAGTGGTAGGAAATAGAGTAAATATTGTCTTAGTCTATTTTATACTGCTATTGCAGAATACCACAGACTGGGTAATTAATGTATAAAGCACACTGGGTAATTAATTTATAAATTAATAAAGATAATTAATTTATAAAGATTTATTTCTTACAATTCTAGAAGAAATGAGAAGTCCAAGGTTGAGGGGCCTGCATCTGGTGAGTGTCTTCTTGCTGTCATCCCATGGCAGAAGGTGGAAAGACAAGAGAACACATGGGAGAGCAAGAGAGGGGAAAGGGGCTTATCTCATGAATTAGTAATTTTTTTTGGGGGGGGGGTACTAGGGATTGAACCAGGAGCACTTAACCACTGAGCCAATCCCCAGCCCTTTTTATTTTTAATTTTGAAACAGGTTCTCACTAAGTTAATAATAATAATCTTGCTAAGTTGCTGAGGCTGGCCTTGAACTTGCTATCCTCCTGTCTCAGTCTCCCAAATTGCTGGGATTATAGGATTATACGCACCCAGCATGAATTAGTAATATTTTGTGTGTGTGTGTGTGTGTGGTATTAGGGATTGAACGCAGGGGTACTCTATCTGAGTTACATTCCCAGCCTTTTTTATTTTTTTGAGACAGGTTCTGGCTAAGTTGCCAAGGCTTACTGTCCTTCTGCCTCAGTCTCTTAAGTAACTGGGATTACAAGTGCAGTGCCACCATATCTGGCTATGATTTGATCAATTTTTTTTAGTTGTTGATAGATCTTTATTTTTATTTATTTACATATGGTGCTGAGAATCGAACCCAGTGCCTCACACATGCCAGGCAAGTGCATTACCGCTGAGCCACAGCCCCAGCCCAATTTGATCAATTTTTAAGTCCCACCTCTCAACACTGTTGTGTTGGAGTTTAAGTTCCCATCACGGGTACTTTGGGGGACACATCCAAACCCTAAGTAATTGAAGTATACTAGATCCTGCACTGAGAACAGTATATCCTATTTCTTAATCCTCTGACATCCTTCTTCAATTTTATTTTCTGAAATTATTGCTTTACAACTCTTGTTCTTCTCTAAACTACCATACAAATCTGGGATCACTGATATTCTAACACTGTTTGACTCTAAGTTCCATGAGGACAGTGTTCTTGTCTAATCTAAGTGCCAATTATCTTTGATACGCAGTGTAGGTCCTGTTACATTTACAGGTACTTGATAAGCATTATCTGAAGTGGTGAATATATGATTAAACAAGGTGGAGTTGAGACTCAGGAAACCTGGATTACTTTGGCTCTCAATTAACTTATCTCTTCCTTATTTTCTAGAGAGGCACTAATTAAAAATTGACCTGGGTTGAATTCCAATTCTTTTCTCATTACCTGTTGACTTGAAGTAAATCGTTTAATCTATCTCTCTCTCTCTCTCTCTCTCTCTCTATATATATATATATATATATATTTTTTTTTTTTTTTTGTTTTTTTTTGTAATGTATTTTTATATGGTGCTGAGGATCAAACCCAGTGCCTCACAAGGGCTAGATGGTGCTTTTCCACTAAGCTACAACCCCAGCCCAGTCATTTAATCTTTCTAAACCTCAACTTTCCTTTTTATAAAACTGATTTAATAATAGAATACATTCTAACAGAGGATTAAGGATTAGAAGAGAAAAGGTATGTAGCAATATTAGCAAATTATGGAATACTTACCAAAGACCCAATAAAGAGTATAGCCATTGAATTATAAGTTGTAGTGAGAACTAAATTAAGTGAATGAGAAAGTGCCTTGTAAATAATTTACTGTTAATGTAAATTTCTCACTCTGAAAGGAATGGAAGGATAGAAACAAGTCTAGAGACAAAGTCAAAGAAAGTTCAAGGATTAAGAAGGTGTATTTTAGCTGCACTTGTTAAATGCTAAATTATTTGCTTCTTCATCATGCCCCTGCCCAGAGCTGTCTAGATTTTTCATAGAGGGACTTAGAGATTCAAGAACACTTGGAGAATTTGAAGAAATCCAAGGAAAGGACAAAAAGCCAGGATTTAATGGGACAGCAGATAGGAACCATGAAGGGGAACTAGAGGAAAAAGTATAATTTGCATAAAGAAAAGGCCAAAGCAAGGGTACTAGGAGTTTTCTGTTGCCACTAAGGACAAAGTTGATATCAAGAAGGATTTTCTGAATGTAAAGAATATGAAATGTGAGCATAGGGGAATTTAATCTTCCTCCTGAGAGAAGATACCTGTCTTATCCAGGCAGGGAATGGCTGTTCGCCTCTTCTAGAGGAACAGTTAAATGAGATGATTGGGCAGAGGACCAGAATAGGGATGGACTCAGTCTCCCATAAATTAATCAAAAGACTGTCTCTGGATCTTTATAATCATGGCCTGTCCCCCTCACACCATGGCTGGTACCTCTGTACACCTAGTTTCCCTTACCACTTTCTGAAGGCTCATAGCGGTCAATGAGTTCCAGAGCAAGGTCAGAGGCTCGCTCTCTTTCTTTCTGCTCCTCTCGAAGGAAATCCACAAATTCCAGCAGGGTCAGTTTCTGCCCATCATCAGAAAATTGTTCAAACATTTCATGCACCTCAGTGCGCTTTGTCAATGCCTGATAGAAATATACAAATTCTTCTCCTTCTAGAGTCCCAGAATTGGACATGTCTGCTTCCTGCAACAGGTTTAGGAGAGAGTGGACAGACATTTCAGTGGGAAAATTTATGACCTTCACTTGTTCTTAAGGACATCTCATTGACACATATATTCAAAGATGCTTCCATAAAACTCCACAGAACCCCTGACACCTTGTGTTCATAGAAGTCACTTCAGTAAGAAAAAAGCAAACTTGCAGCTATATCATTTGCTAGTAGAGAAAATTTCAACCAAAAAGAGTTCTTCTTCCCAAAGCTCCCTAGGTCAGGATATACTTCCTTCTATTACTCATATTCCAGTTGGGGTTTGTTCTAGGCACCTATGAAATTCTGGCCACAAACAGAGAGGTCCTTGAGGTCAACATAATCACATATTGTTATTTACCTTTCATGGGATTATGACTCATCTTTCCAACAAGACTAAATGGTAAGAATCATTCCCTACACTTTCCACTGAGCCTGTCATGATGCTAGGGCACACAGTAGGGATTCAACAAATGAATGTTGCTGACTGGCGTCAGATGCCTGCATGTAGATGGTTGGCTCCTGCAAATTCTTCCTCTGCAGACTCACCTGAAAAAGACCAAAGGCATATTCTTGGTCCATTTCCACATTCATCAGACGCAACAACCGCCGAACTTCTTCGAAAGTCATCCGACCATCTTGGTTTTTGTCTCCACGCTGGAACAAATCACTCAACCATCCAGGTCTGAGTCAAGGCAAAAGCACTGTATGTATGTGTTTGTGTCCAGAAGTATGTGCATGTTTATCCATTGACATCCCTCCCCTGTCTTTGTTGCCAGTCCCATGCCAATCCATTCCCCACACAGCTTTAGAATAATCTCTCCAGACCAACAATCTATCTTGTCACTGAATGGCTCAGGTACCTGCAGGGACCTCTCTGCTGCCTGAAGAAAGAAACTCAAATTCCTTAACATAGAAATTAAGATTCCCTTCACCCCTTGGATCTTATACAACACAGCCTGTTCAATATATCTCTGTCTTCCTTGCACTTTATAGCTAGACTCAGCAACTCCCTGCTCTCAACTTTCTCTCTTGCTCCTCAATTTCCTATCTCCAGACCTTTACTCATTCTGTTCTCCCAGGCAGAAGTGCCTTTCCCTCCTCCACTCATCATGTTCCAATTCTTCCATTTTTCAGACCCAGCTCACAAACTCTTTATTCCCTGAAGCTTTATCAATACACTCTTAAGTAGAATGAAATATCCTTCCTTTGAATACATACAAATCATCTAAGAACGACAATTCTTTGGAACTTAGATTATTTATATCCTCCTCTCCACTAACTGAAGCAATATCTGTATCTCATTAATATTTGGAACCCTAAAGCTTTGTATAGTTCCTGAAACATTCTGTTTAATAAGTGATTAATGAATGAATAAGTGAACTGGTGTACAATCCAGCAATCTTGAAGTTGTCTATATCATTGAGCCCTCTAAGAAATGGCTTCCTGTCCGATAACTATGGTATCCCTATGGTAGTAAATGCTTTTGGATCTTCTGTTCAGCTTTCAGGAGCAGTGCCTTATTTGCACCTCTGTCTCTCACTGTCCCTTCCTCCAAATCCTACAAGTCCTCATTCATGCCAAACTCTGTGCCATCCCTAGCATTCATTTCTCCTTCAGAATCCTCAGTTACACTTAACCTAAGATGTCTCAGCCCATACAATCTGGACCCTTTAGCTTTCCTATCCCTCACCCCTTCCCATCTTCCCTAGCTCTGTAATATCTGGCTTCTTCAGTGATTCCCAGTCCCAACCCTGACTCCAACTTGTTGATACTGGTCCAGCCGCTCCTTTTGGTCCATGCTGGTAACAAGGTCCACCAAAAGCTGGAGTCCACGCATCCAGTTCTGGGCCTCCTTAACACTGTTGGCAATCAGATCCAGGTTGGGACGGCGGCCATGGAAGACAATGGTGAAGCCCTGCTCCAGGGGGAACTCATCTGCCAGGCTGCGCAGCAACTCAGAATCATGACCTTTACGCACTGTCTCCACATCGGAGATTGAGACTGCCAAAGAAGCAGATGGGAGCATTGAGAAAGGGGTCCAATAAATTGTAGGGGCTAAGGGGCAAGGACCTGTGCCTACTTCTTCATGAAAACATAGAAAGGAGGAACTCCAGTCTCTGCAGACTGAGTCCCAAAAGGTGTAGTACAGAGAGACATAGTAGGGTTCCAGAGCCCATGTGAATCACTGCAGTTTGTTTCTATAGGCAGCTGGGCAAGGGACCTGTGCTATGGACAGCAAGGTGTAATTTCCAGTCACAAAGTTAGCAGAGTGACACAGATCAAAACAACTTAATTCTTCAGTGTCCTCATCTTAAATAAGAATAGTTCTTTCCATGGTCAGTCTAAATAGTGATCATAGGAGGACTGGCAGGAATGATAAACGAGAACACGCTGAAAAGCAGTTACAACAAAGCAGCTCATGTTCACATTCAGATTTGAGGGTTTCTTCTTTCCAGATGTCTAGAGGGAGTAAAAAAAAAATTCTTCCACTCCTTTTATGGAAGGGGTGGTGAGGACTGTGAACTTTAATTATGTCTCTAAAGCAGACTCTCTTAAATGTATCCTATGATCAAATTTATAGTGATATGCCAGGTGCAGTGGTGCATGCCTATAATCTCAGCAGCTCAGGAGGCTGAGGCAGGAGGATCACAGATTCAAAGCCAGCGTTAGCAACTTAGTGAGGTTGTAAGCCATCTAGTAAGACCCTGACTCAAAACAAAAAAATAAAATAAAACAAAAAAGGCTAGGAATGTAGATCAGTGATTAAGTGACTTTGGGGTCAATCCCTGGTAAAAGGGATTTTCTAAAAAAAGAAAATATTGTTTTTCTTTTTTTAGAGGCATCACAAAGAGCTTGGCCAATAGGATGAACACTGTTATTTTTTTCTTCAGTACTGGGGATTGATCCCAGGGGTGCTCTACCACTGAGTTATACCTCCATGCTTTATCTTTTTTATTTTGAGACAGGGTCTCACCAATTTGCTCAGACTGGCCTTGAACTTGTGATCCTTCTGTCTCAGCCCCCTGAGTGGGTAGGATTATAGGTGTGCCCCACCACATCCAATTTTGATATGTTTTTTTATGTTTTAAAAATACATAATGGGGGCATTGTGGCTCAGTGGTAGAGCGCTTGCCTCACACATGTGAGACCCTAGGTTCGATCCTCAGCACCACATAAAAATGAATAAGTGAAACAAAGGTATTATTTCCAACTACAACTAAGAAATAAATATTGGGGCTGGGATTGTGGCTCAGTGGTAGAGTGCTCGCCTGGCACGTATGAGGTCCTGGGTTCAATCCTCAGCACTACATAAAGATAAATAAATAAAGGTATTGTATTCAACTACAACTACAAAATAAATATTTAAAAATAAACAAATAAATAAATAGATACTAAAAACTAAAAAGTACCATAATGGAGCTGGGGTTGTGGCTAAGTGGTAGAGCACTTGTCTAGCATGTGTGAGGCACTGGGTTTGATTCTCAGCAACGCATATAAATAAGTAAATAAAATAAAAGTCCATGAACAACTAATAAAAATATTTTTTAAAAAATACCATAATGGCTAACATTTATTAAATGCATCCTGGTTTCAGATCCTGTGCTACGTATGTGCTTTACAAATCAACTCATTGAGTCTCTGTAACCTAGTAGGTAGGTACTGTTTTTTTTTTGTACGGGAGATCGAACCAGGGTCACTTAACCACTGAGCCACATCCCCAGCCCCCCCCCTTTTTTATATTTTTTATTGTAGATGGACAGAATACCTTTATTTTATTTGTTTATTTTTTTTTTTATGTGGTGCCAGGGATCGAACCCAGTGCCTCCTGCATGCTAGGCAAGCGCTCTACCACTGAGCCCAAAACTCTGGCTCCCCCAGCCCCCTTATACATTTTATTTAGAGAAAGAATTTCACAGAGTTTTTTTAGGGCCTCGCTAAGTTGCTGATGCTGACTTTGAACTAATGATCCTCCTGTTTGAGCCTCCTAAACCACTGGGATTATAGTGTATACCACTGCACCTGTGGGCAGGTATTGCTTAATACTCATTTTACAGATGAGAAACAGAAGCTCAGTTTAATTAAGTAAGTTGTCCGAAGCCACTCCTTTAGAAAGTAGAAGAGCTAAGATTTTAATTCAGGCAGGCTGATGCCTAAGGTCATGGTCTTATAATAACAATAATAAAAAAGATATAGCCTATGACTTATTGAATCTTACTTAGTGTGCCAAGACTCAAGTCCTTTATATGCAATATTAATTTTTTTAAAATATTTTTTTAGTTGTAGATGGACCCAATACCTTTATTTATTTATTTATTTATTTTTATGTGGTGCTAAGAATAGAACCCAGTGCCTCACACATGTGAGTCAAGCGCTCTGCTCCTGAGCCACAATCCTAGCCCTGCAAAAACTAATTTAATCCTCCATAACAGCCTTACAGGAGCAAATATTATCTATGATCTCCTTGCACAGGCTCAGATACAGCCACAGTGGGACAGCACAAGGGCATACTATTGTAAGACTCTGGTATCTCCCCTACCCTCAGGCTGCCAGGTTCCTCTGGGACCTTCCACCCTTGTGCCCACCCGCAGCTATCCAGGTCACTCACAGGTGGGCTTTTCACTGCCCCTAGCCTGACGAGCATGCCAGACTGTCATGCCATCATTCTGAAGTCTGAAGTATCTTGGCTTCTTCCAGCTTTTCGATCTCACCTTGCGCATCAGTGTGCCTTCTTGCATTTGCAGCAGGTCCTGATCAGTGGTCAGCCCTGGGACAAGAAAAGCAGGGAGAGATAGCCAGTGGAGAGGGGAGAGGGCCCAGAAGGAGCTCTAGAACAGGGGTCCAGTCTCCTTTCCTTTTCTGGGCTTCTTCCTAAGCCCTCTTCTCCTGAAAGGGTACTCACGGTCTTGTATCAGGGATGCCATCACTCATTGGTCCGCCAGCTGGCGCCAGAGTCACCTAAAAGAAGCAAGAGAAGGAAACCGCTGTTTCCTTAGTGCGCAAAATATATGGGTCAGGTACTTCATCTCCATAGTCAGCTATATTTTACTTCTAATTTGAGGTTGGTGACTCTGAGGCTTAGGTAGCCTAAGAATCTTGCCTCAAATTTCATAAAGATCAGAAATTTAAGGCTGGGATTGTAGCTCAGTGGTAGAGAGCCTGCCTAGCTTTTGTGAGGCACTGGGTTCGATTCTCAGTACTGCATATAAATAAATAAAGATGCATCAACAACTAAAAATATTTTTTTAAAAAAGATCAGAATTTAAAATCAGATATATCTTGTCCCAGAGCCTCTGCTCTTTCCCATGGCTATTCCTAGGAAAGGCTAAACAAGGGCACCTACAACCCACTAGGTAGCTTTGCTCCACACTTATTCTCACATCCTCATCTTGCTGGTGACCCCTTTCAGAACCTGGACTCTCCCCACACCCTAGCTGTCTCTTCTTCAGGAAGAATCATCCCAGCCTCCTCTTCTGGAAACCCTGTCTGGCTCCTGAAGAGCTAGGACAGAGCACTTCTTGAGTCTCTGCTATAACACTTAGTTGTATTTTTCTGCCTTCACATTGTAGAGCATGTTTTATATTCTTTTACATAGCAGTTATTCTCACAGTTTTTAATGGAGTGATTAAGTTACACAAGTCTTGGAATTACATTTTCAAGTTTTCTCTACTTACTAAAAAAGGGCACATCCTTTAAGATATATGCTACCCAATTTATATGCTGGCTAAACTGTCCTAGTTGCTAACACAAAATTCCCTTTAAAAGAACTAGAAGCACTGGGAGCAATAGCACGCTTGTAATCCTAGCTACTTAGGAGGCCGAGTCAGGAGGATTGCAAGTTTGAGGCCAGCCTGGGCAATTTAACAAGACCCTGTCTTAAAATACTATTTTTTTTAAATTTATTTTTTAGTTTTAGGTGGACACAAAACCTTTATTTTGTTTTTATGTGGTGCTGAGAATCGAACCCAGTGCCTCATGCATGCTAGGCAAGTGTGCTACCACTTGAGCCACAGCCCCAGCCCTCAAAATACTATTTTTTAAAATGGCTGGGGATATAGCTCTGGTGGAGTGCTTGCCTAGCACTCATAAGGTTTACTCCCTAGTACCACACACATGCACACACACACCCAAAAACCTACAATATTTAATATGTGGCCACTTTGATTCTAGTACTACCCTATAAACATATTCAATCTTGACCAGATTGTTTTGACAAAGCTTATGAAACATAAAGCGCTCTTTCTCTCTCTCTCTCTCTCTCTCTCTCTCTCTCTCTCTCTCTCATGAACAAAGGACCTACACTTGAATAGAAGCACTTTGTGTTTCTTAATTAAAACATTTAAAAATTTTGCCAGGGCTGGGGATGTGGCTCAAGTGGTAGCGCGCTCGCCTGGCATGCGTGCAGCCCGGGTTCGATCTTCAGCACCGCATACAAACAAAGACGTTGTGTCCGCCAAAAACTAAATAATAAATATTAAAAAAATTCTCTCTCTCTCTTTAAAAAAAAAATTTTTGCCAGGCATAGTAGTGCATGTCTGTTATCCTCAGGTAGCTGAGGCAGGAGGTAAAGCAACCCTGGGTTCAATCCCCAGTATCAAAATTAAAAAATAACTTTTGACAGTGATGAACATTTAAAACAACCTTACTCAGGAGGCTGAGGCAAGGGGACCATAAATTCAAGGCCAGCATCAGCAAAATAAATAAATAAATAAATAAATCTGGGGCACATACTGCTATGCTGCCATGGTGGCACATGCCTGTAATTCTAGAGATTTGAGAGGCAGAGGCAGAAGGATTGCAAGTTCAAAGCCAACCTCAGCAACTTAGTGGAGCCGTCAGCAATTTGGTGAGACCCTGTCTCAAAATAAAAAATAAAAGGGCTAAGGATGTGGCTGGTTCAGTGATTGAGCACTCCTGGATTCAATTCCTGGTACCAAAAAAAAAAGGGGGGGGGGGTGGCTCAGTGGTAGAGCGCTTGCCTAGCATGTGTGAGGCATTGGGTTTGATCCCCAGCACCACATTAAAAAAAACTAAATAAACAAAATAAAGGCATTGTGTCCATCTACAACTAAAAAGGACTGGGGACGCAGATCAGTGGTAGAGCACCCCCGGGTTCAATTCCCAGTATTGTCAAACAAACAACATAAGCAGGGTATGGTGGTCCATGCCTGTAATCCCAGTGGCTCAGGAGGCTGAGACAGGAGGATTGAGAGTTCAAAGCCAGCCTCAGCAATGGCGAGGTGCTAAGCAACTCAGTGAGACCTTGTCTCTAAATAAAATAAAAATAGGGCTGGGGATGTGGCTCAGTGGTTGAGTGCCCCTGAGTTCAATCCCTGGTACTAAGAAAAAAGAAACAAGAAACAAAAAAATCATATAAGCTACTCCAGATTTTATAGAGGAATAAAGTAGGAGGTTCAGAAATGTGATGTGACTTGTCTGAGGTCACACAGCATATTAGAATTCTGTCTCTCTTTGATGAGAAGAAGAACCTATAAAGTCACTCGAAAGTGATTAGGTATTCAGGGAGAAGGTGGGGATCACTGAAAATGCCCTGACTAGAGGACCTAAAGATGCCTTTCTAAAAAGGTAACAGATTGAAGAGGGAATGTTGGGAAGCAGTTTCTTGGGAGAAAAACAGTCTTGTGACAGTTGCAAGAATAAGATATTTTTCTGGCTAAGGCTGGCTATTGTGTGTCTTGGGTAAGATCAGAAGAAACCTCTGAAAAGAGGAAGGGATTCCCAGGGCTTCCTGAGAGACAGAGAGAGATATTTTTATCTCCATATCCAGGTGGAGAAGCACAGTATGAAATAATCTGAAACTTAAAGAAGTTAAATCAACATTGAAGTAGAAAGTGATAGGTCTCTCTTAAAGTTCTTAGGGGTCAAGGTTGAAGTATAATCTTCAGTGGTATCATTCTGCCTTTGCCTCTCTTTGAACTTCAGCTCCCATCTGTGGGGCATAGAGACTCTGGGGTGGAGCTAGGGCCTGGGAGAAGACAGAACTACCTTCATTTATACCTCTGATCAGGAGCCTCAATAATGTCCTACAGCACGAGAAACCTGAGAACACAGGTCCTCTGCCTAGACACCCTTATTTGATAGACTATTTCCTCTCAAACCAGCCTTAGGAAACCCTCCTTTGTCAAACCCTGGGGCTTGTCCTCCCTCACCCTAGCTAACTTTGCTCCCATTCCCGAATTATTATTCTAAACCTGTATCCAGGTGACATATGGCTATAAGAGCACCAGCTTTAATTCAGGGAGCTGCAGAATGTCAGAACTGGACTTCATTCTTTACAGAGGAGGATTGAGTACTAGAAAGATTGGTGGATCTGTTGGGGTCATTTAGTTGAGTTGCAAAACTGGGACTAGAACCGAGGTCTCCATATAACCAATCAGAGAGCTTGCTGAAACTCTGCCTTATTCCAGAAAGCAGGTCAAAGTGAGGTTAGGGATCAGTGAGAGATGCTGATGTTTAATTTCTCCTCTTCATCATCCTCTGTTTCTCTTGTAACCCAGAAAATAGCTTTTCTTTTCTTTCTTTTCCCCATCCCATGCCTGATCTCATCCTTTCCCTTTCTTCCCAGCTCACTCTTCTCTCTTCTGGTCAGCCTCTTTTTGCTCTCCTCTTCTCGCCTCTTCTCTCCATTACCTCTTCCTGTCACTTCCCTCCTCTGTCTCCACTAATTGCCAATAGTTCTGATTATCATTTCCTTTGAGGATTTTGAGACTATGGTCCAGGAGGAAGGACACTTGAGTTTGGACACTCAGTAGCATATCCCTCTGCTCAGCGTCACTTTTCCCTGTATCCTAGGAGATTGACTAAACAAAGTGCCCAGAGAATGTGAGTTAGAACCTAGTGTTCTAGGTCTTGGTGTTTCTTTTGTGTCTGAAAGGAAAGAATTTTACAGCTGATGCAGATGCAGTGTGGAAAAAAGGAACCAAGGGTTTGTGAGTGGGGGCACTTAAGGGCACAGAGACTGAAAACTGACAGTAAGAAAGATTAAGTTTTCAATGTTATCTCTTAGACATGTATGTGGAGACCTTAGAGGATACAGATGGTTGCCTGGATACTACAGGTATGACAAAAGACACGTAAAATAAGATGGGAAGTAACCTTGGGCTGCAGAACAAGATTTAGTTCTCAACTACCAAGTGTCTTCATGTCACCTAAAGACGGACTTTAGCAATGTTGCCATTGGTGCCAATGACATTACACTAGGAGTCAGGATGTCTCAATTCTCTCTGAGGGGCAGGAAGAAAGACAATCATTTTGACTATTCCCTTGCTTCTGAGAAGATTATGTCTAGCCTTATGTCATGGATTATGTCTAGGATTATGCCATGTAAAAAGGATAGAATGGCTCTAGTCACAGGTCACAGCTTTCAGAATGTTAGAACTTGAAGGCTCTTTCATAGCACATATAAACCAGGGTTTCACGGATAATTCAATGTCCCAGGGAAAGTGTCTTAAAATAGAGAATCCTTAGCTCCCACCCCAAAATCTACCAGATCAAAATTTCCAAGGATGGGGCTCAGTAATTTATATATATATATATATATATATATATATATATATATATATTGGTGGTGGTGCTGGGGATTGAACCCTTTGTGCATGTGAGGCAAGCACTCTACCAACTGAGCTACATCCCCAAGTCTGGGGAGCCCTAAACTTTCTCCTAATACAGATCAAAAAAGTTATGGTCTAAAGTCCCAGGGCACAGTCTTCTGATGTACCAAGAAACTGTCCTAGCTACCTAAGCAGGTGAAGAACAAGGCACAGAATTCAAACCTGCCTCTTTCCTAGGAAGTCTCATAACTCCTTGCTACCAGGAGTTTTTCTGCTTCTCCCTGGGTCTTGGCCAGTTCTCCTTTGGAAACTCTCAAGGATCTATTAATAAGTCTCTGCTACAACTTGTCTAC